CAAAGAGTTAAGCAATTTCAATTTGACATATGTCAATTATTTTTTTAGTAATTTATTAAAAGTGTACTACATTTAATTTAAAAAAATAGGAATGTCAATGTCAATCAATTAATAAATGCAATTAGGTTTTCCTTTCAAATACGGGATTTTAATATACTTTTTAAATGATTAATATACTTATTATAATCACATAGTAATTTAATAGCACTTTTAATATGCTTTGAATGAAAATTGTTGTTTTGATACTAATTACAAGCGAAGAAATTCGAATTATTAATTAAGAAAAAATATATTCAATTAACTGCTATTAGTTTATCAAAAAAATTACACAAAAAATAGTTTTTTTGGTATGTTTTACTAACTAATTATTAATAAATTGCTCAACTTTTTTAAATTAATTCATTTAATACCAATCATAACTATACAAGAATAAATAATGTAATTAAAGAAAACTATCAAAGGAAATGACAATATTTTAATACACCTGATGGACGTGTATCGAATACCAAAATATTATATTACCAATCAGACTATTATTTCTGAATCGATTACCACTCTTTTTGCCGACAACAACATAAAATAGAACCATAATATTAAAATAAATTATTTATACCCTCTACATACTGAATAATGTAGTACGACGCTTTGAGCACGCAACATAATTGTACATAAACACATTTTGTGATACGTGCATTTACAATTTCGTCTGTCCAAATTGACGTTAATTTGCTGCATGATTTTCGAGACACCTCGCCGGATTCCGGTTTATTCATCATCATCATAAGCCGACTAAAATAAGGTCATGACGATACTCGTTTTTGTTTTGTTCTGTTATTGTCAAGTGCGCCGGATGTTAATGTAATTTGTGGGTTGCTTCATGCATACGAAACAAGGCTATCACAACAATCAGCTGATCACATGACCTTGTCATTACCCAATTGCAGCATTTGTAAATGACCAAATCGAAATTGCATTAGAAGCATATTGTTAATAGATACATTCAATTGACGTACGACGGTGAGCGATTTCTATGTTCAACGAAAATAGATACACTTTAATTGCTCCATTGTTGTGAGACCCATCAAATGCACATTAGAGTTTTTTTTTGTTGCTTTGCGTTTCAACGGTAATATGTATCGGTGTTAGGTAATTACTAAAAGTGCCTCGAGGAATCGATTTTGTTTCCTTTAGTTTTGTCGGAATTCCATGGTGCATCGATCATACATGCATGGAAACCGACAAACATGCAACATTATATTGTAGAAATACAATACATATATTGTAGCTTTCTTGGAAATAAAACAAAAATTTATATAACTTACTGAAGTTTCAATTATTAATTAGAAAATTTGTAATCAAGGACGGGAAAAATGTGATTCCCAAATTGTAATGTAATTAGTTTAACCCGTTGGCCATCAGATACATTGTATTCTTCGCAAATTAACAATAACTATGAGATCTGTCAGTGTATATAGAGTGAATTCACAAATATCACCCAACTGCAACACTTGTTGCTTAACTTTTATTTGACAGCTTAAACGTCATTTCCAAATTTTAACAATTCGCATTATTTCATAATTAATATAATTAATTGCATTATATTAATTATGAAATAATTAAATTGCATTACATCTGCATAAAGAAAATAAAGGCTTATATTTCATAAGCTGTCAAATTAGTAAATAATGCACAAATATAATGTATCATTCTGTCATCCTTTCTCTCCACTTATTGCTTAACTTTCATAAGCTGTCAAATCTCATTTCTAGTTTTAACACAATTTGCAGATAATAGATATAATTGTATTAAATTAATTAAACTTTAGTGACGGATTTAAAAGTCGACGAAACTACATAATATACAAAAATGATATGTTATTCTATCACCCATTCATTTCAGTTGTTGCTTAATTTTGAAAAACTATCATTACCAAAAGACAGGATTACATCATTTGTGTAAAACGTTGACCGCATTATAAACGAAACTGTTACCCATCCACTCTACTTGCTGCATACATTTGATAAACTGTTGCTTAATTTTCAAAATCTTTCATTACCAAATATAAGGAATTAATTTATTATATAATAAATATAATAGAATTAAACAAATTACATTTCAGTGTCACCTGGACAATGAAAAGAAAGAAATACAACATTAGAAAACGGTATTATAAGTCGACAGCATTAATAACGGAACTAAATAATGCAGAAATGTTTGCGTTGTGGCTACAAAGTTCCACTTACACACATTTCTGTTGTATTTTTTTTTGTCGTATTTATCTTGAAGGATAATTGCTGGCGCTCTCGTTCCACATACTAATTCATTGAATATCGAGGCGAGGTTTTTGGTATATTACCACATAAATATTAAAGGCCGAAAGAAAATTGGGATGAGACATGTATTCGTTTTCGTGCGTTACTCGGGATTACCCAATTACATTGAAGAATGTCGAGTAAACGCAATTAACTCGAAGGACATTTTCATCGAGCAAACCAGATTAATATTAAGTTGACGTTGTGTGGACGTAGCTCGAATAGAGAACGATTATCCTTCCACTTCTCCGACTAAAGCTTTAACAACTATAATTTAGTACATTCACTTCAAAGTTTTAAAAGAAATCATCTTCAAATTCTTTAAAATTATATTCAAAATGTTAGCTAGTTTATTAACATTAATAAAATAGTTTATAAACTTCTTAAAATTTCAATAGGCATTAAATTTATGTTATAGTTATTAACAAAAAATGTTCGGTTCTCGAACATAATTCGTTTCTAAAGACTATTGAAATACAAAAATTACTTCAACTGATACATTTTTTACTTTATCCGAATAATTTAGGAACCGAGGTTTCATAATACAATTAAACAAATATTGTGGTGTCATCTAATACCTCAGTAAGAAAGAACTTGATTATATAAAGCATAAAATAATATAATAATATTTATTAGTTACAATGCAACCAAAGGGCTATTGACCTAAGTCTTTCCGCCCAGAGACACAAAAAACATAAATTGTCACAATAAATCATATAAAAAATGCATTCTGAAAAAAAAGTAAGACGTACTATAAAATAATATCTTAAATTTATTTTAACATACATAATTTCTTAACATCTTTCAAACGTTAATATTTATAGGAATAGAATCGAACCATTAAAACTTAACCAATACATTTGCGAGCATTAAATTTACTGTTTTACTACGGTCAATGGCTTTTGCGCTTATTTTAACAAAATACTATTTTCTAACTAAAATATAGGCATTATTGAAATAACTTGCTTTGAATATTATCTATAAATTAAAATACATATTTAAATATATATGATACATTTTTTTTTAAATATTTCAGTACGTGAACTAAAGAAGAAAGAAACAAAAAATATGTGAATAAGTAGTTATTAAAATTTATACTATTTCCATGAAAATGATTTAAGCATTCCATAAATGCAATGAATAAAGAGTAACCAATTACAGTGGGACAAGCATCTCGCATAACGAGCAACATGAATTGTAAGAAAAATGACGTCTCGCATAACGATGACGAGAAGCCCCAAATTGTGCGCCTGCTACATCATTTTTAAAACTTGTGTACACATATTGTGTGTATTTTTGAATATGTTTCACTAAACGAGTAAATATCCGGAAATTTTGGAACGGATTAAAAGCGAGGTTCCACTGTATTACTTGACTTAACTAGTTGTATAGTTCGTAAAATTTGCACAGAATTGCTGCATTTTCATTTATCAATTAATGATTATATGTACTTAACAAACATCTTTTCGACTTAAACATTGTATTACAACGAAATTTGAGGTAATACATTACACAACAAATTTAGATGTCGTGTTTATATTCAAAACATTACCTAAATAGTTTTTCTCAAGTAATTATCGTGTGAATATGATACTTCTAAACATATTCTAAACTTCTAAACAAATGTTTTCTGTAGTAAACAATCATAATATAAATTATTTAATTGTTGTGGTTTCTACAAATTAATACTAATAATTAACAGCTAACAAAACTTGCATATCTGTGATAGTCATACGTTCTCTATATCATTTATATTTTGATGACATAAATAAAGAAAATCAATGAAATTAATAAAAATACATAAGAACAGCATTTAGTGATATTTATATAAGATTTATTTGCTTTTGCTATTATTGTTAATAAACATATCTCTTGTATACTATTTTTTTAAAGTCGCACTAAAATATCTTGATGTTTATTTGTCTTACTGACTTAACAGAAAAATGCAGAACATTTGTTTTTAGTATTTCTGGTATTACCAGTGAATAGTACAAATTTATGATAATTTGTACAATTAGTACATGTTAATTATAGTTTCTATTCAAATAAAGTAACAAATTAATATGTACTTAGAATTAGTAGTAATAAAAATATTATATTATCTTAATGCGACATATATTCTGTGCTAAAACTCAACTAACAATTACTTAAGTAATATTAAATATTGTCAATTGTTGAGATAAGAAAAGGTTTGTATAATGATTACATTTAAAGTTGCAGTCAGGATCAGTTTCATACTACTTGTTCTCTTGATTCCATTGGTTTCTTTGTTAGGAATATTAAAATCGTTTAAAAATTATACTAAACAGTTGCATCAATTAAATATTCCGTGTGTTAATAATCTTAATCTGCAAATAATTTAAGGTAACATCCTTTTGTTTAGATAATACTAGGATTTGAGGAAAGCGGAAAGGTTGCAGTCATTAACCCTTTGTATGTTGTTATACAATATCATTATTATGATTTGTGGATTAATAGATTAATTTATTCATTTTTATGAACCGATTTTCTCAATACCAATAATGTTGTTAAGTAGCTTTAACTTAAGCTCTTCATATAATGTACATAGTTCTCGCATCGTAAATAGATTTAGTAAAGATAAGGTTTTATCGTGCAATAATAATTACATTCGTATAGATAATTTAATGATATTTCATGTACAGGTAGTAACGTTCGACGTTGTTGCAGGTTCGTTATGGCACCCAGGACCACGACTCCTCAGGACCACAATGCAGGTAAACGGCATTCTTCGAATATTCGTTTCAAAGTGATTCATACTCGTGCTTGCTCGTCTCTCAAATGGATACATTTACTCAGTAATAAGTCATGTTATCAAATATTATTGATTAATAGCAAATTCAATAATTCATTCTCGTGTTGTGTTATAAAATTTCCAGATTCCGATAATTTACTTATAAATAAATACAAACAAAAATAAATGTTTCCAGAAAAGTAAAATGCAAAAATTTTATTATTACTCACTAAATATTTAGTTATTCTGCTGTAAATTAAATTTTTAGATTTCGAAAGATTACTGAGAATTAGACAAAATAAGATTAAAACTTAATCTTTTGTTTAGAATCACAAATTTAATATTTCCAGGAAACATTAAAAAAAAGTAAGTTTAGTTTTACTATTTATTCTCTTTTCGATAGCTCCCAGATTCCAGAAATACTGGACTAATCGAGAAACTAGTGAAATAGTGAAGAAAAAAAAAAGAATAATCAGTGTAACAAATAGACTTGGTTTTGCTTAATTTAAATTAAATTTTAATTGAATCCGGACTGATCGAAGTCGCACTATACGAGGTATTAGTGTATATCGTTTATCTGCATATTGGAAATTAATAATTTCTAAATAAAGCTATCAATAATTTACAGTTATAGGTATTCCAATTAAAAATACAGAATTTCATTAATTAAATAACACATGTAACAAGAAATGCATACCTCAATTTGATGTTATCAACATAAAAAACATATCGTAAAGCAAATAAGATAATGTGATAACTTACTGATCATATACGATAACTTAATAAAATATATATTATAGTCTCGAAAATGTTGGCTCCGTATGAACCTGTCAGTATGTATTAAATATTTGCTAATAGTTTACTTAAAAAAACACGTGCTATTTTTCTGTGATCGTATTTTTATAGTTATTCTTGAAGAAATTAGTTGTTTTCATTTCCTGATGGTTTTTACGGCTTACTAAAGATAAGCAAAGTGTGTCGCGTATAATAATTGAATAGGCGTCAACTTAGGACTATAATAATACTATACTGGTTAGATTCATTGGATTCAGGGCATCTAAAATTACAGAGATATTTGTACTTGTAACAAGTAAATATTTTAAGTAATTTACCGGTTAACTGGATACCGGTAATGTTTATAATTAAGTAATATAAAGTCAGCTACACCTTTTTGTTATTAAAATTTACCAATACAGCATAATCCATTCCAGAATTTCCGGATTTTTACTAAATACTCGTATAGTTTATTGTTAGGAGACATGCAAGTGTTATTAAATTTTGCACAAAAAAATCGCAAATAACATGTCCAACTTTGGAAATATGTGTGATTATACACTAAAATAATGGTTGGACACAATACTCGCCTCTTCATCACTCGTTATGCGAAACGTCGTTCATTAAGCGAGTCATTTTTAAAATTAATTTTTTTCTTTAATCGAAATGCTCGTAAAGCGAGGTTCCACTGTAGTAACTTTTACCGGTAATGGAATCCCTAATTAGATTGAAAAGCACAATGAATAAACTATTACGTATTGAATTTTAAAAAACTGGTATTTTTTGGTAATTATTTTTAAACGAAAAGAAACGGGTGTTAATACCATAAATTATGAATTAAGAATAATTAACGAACAATGAAACTTTAATAAACGACACACTTAAAGTTGTTGGAAATAATTATCTAATTGCAATTAAAAACTCATTAGAACAATAATTAGCGTGGAATAGTTTTTAGGTTTTGTATTCGTTTTTAATGTAAAAATAATGACTTAAAATAAGTATTATCAGTTAATCATTTAAGACATAATAAATGTATTTATTATTTTATATTTTTCATTTCAAGAATAAATAAGTTATTATAATTTAATAATTATAAAAAATAATTATTTTGTGCGTAAATATTTTAAATAATGTTGATCAATTTGATCGTTTTCAATGAAAAACACTGCAATAACAGATTTATAGACTTTTTTTTATATTGAAATAAATAATAATGTAAGTTTACAAAACAAATTTCTATTTTATTATCATAGTTCTTAATTTTGTATATACAACAATACCTCGCATAGTCCGGTTTCGATCAGTTCGGATTCAATATATTCCGGCTTGAAAATTTCTAAAAATACTTAATTTTAATTGAAAAAAAATCGTTTTTTTCCTTTAGTCAAGTCACTTTTATGCGGTTTTTCCTCGATTAATCCGGTTTTAAGCAGTCTCGCATATTGGTGGAACCAAACTTTTATTGTTGCATTACTCCAAATTATGAGTACAGAAAGTAACATTAGTTTAACTTTTATTTGTCTACATTCAATTATAAGTGTTAATTAATCTTATTTAAATACACAAGTATTTAGAAAGTATAATTTATTTTTAATAATAAGTTTTCTAAGAAGCACAGCCTCGCTCTATTTGTTGAGAGCAAGCGCATATCTTAGCTATTTATAAAGCTTAAAAAATAGCTTTAATATAACTATGAGCAAATGCTCGTCTTGTCAAAATTCTAAAATATATTTATTTTATAGAAATGATATTTTGTTAAAATTTTGCTTATAGTAAAATAAGTAGTCAGTAGTCTTTTGAAATAGTTTTTTTATGATTGAAATTATAAATATCAGTAACGGAACTACATTGCGTTGGAAGTCGCAATGCCGCCCCTAATCCAATAAAAAATGTTTGGGGCCCTCAGCACGAATACTATAGGCACTAACACTAACAGTTTAACTGGAGTCTAGGGCCCACGACACTCTTAATTTGGTCCTCAAAGAACCGACAGTCCACTTCCCCGTCATCAATTTTTAAATCTTGTTTAGATGTCCCGTTTAAATCTTAATTAAAATTTAAACAAAAATGTAAAGCTCCGCCACTGATAAAGATGTATTTATTCTTGTATGGCGGATAAAATAAACATTATTATTGCTTAGTTAAAGAATTATAAGTAATTGAGTTAATCAACATGTTAAAAATGATAAAGTATGTTTGGTATTTATGTAGAACTAATTACTTATGCTATATTTAGAACGTTTAATTAATATAGATATTTGACGATAACGAGTATATGGCGAACTTACACTTCTATTCCCATTTATGTCACAACTTGGCCGGTTTTTGCGGAGAAAGAAGCGTGTAGAAAAGAAAAAGCAATAGAAACAGCATGAATAAATAAGTATCACTGGGCAAGTAGCGTTATGCATAATGTTTAGAACTGGTTTGTTTCTATTCCCAATTATCACGCAACTGCCTTGATAATGTCTAGAATGACCTTATGCACATTCTAAGGTCATTCCAGTTGTGATGTTGATAATGGTAATAATAATATGATTCTGCGGTTCCGAGAAGGTAAAACTGCGGATGGTATAAGAGACACACGGTGGGTTTTATAAATAGGAAACGTGTGGTATAATGAGACAGCGAGCGAGGATAGTTGCACAACGCAAAACTAAATGAAAACGCTCTCTCCGTCTGCACCAGACAAGAGTCGAACGGGTCGGAGTCTCATTGAACCTGGCTAGGATTAGTATCTTCCACTCCTGTGCGCTGTTTGCCATTCGTTTCTCGACTGTTCCTCAACCTTTTGACGTTGTTTTTAATTGATGTCAATTGAAATATTGTACAAATTATTTCGGTGATCTCGCGCGCCTGTGGGGGGGAAGGTCGATGCAACCGAAGTGTTGAACGTGTCCACAACATCTGACGTTTGCACCGCAACGTTACGACTTGCAAGATAAATACATATTTACAAGTAATAATAAAAATGGCAGCGCCTGCGTGCATTTGAATGATCATCAGTAAGAACGGGTCAGCAAGTTTCATCAATTAAGTAATGAGTCAACATGTGTTTGGATTACTGCTGCAAGTTAGACCATAATCGCAGGCAGAGGAGTAAATGTGCTAAGCTGATATTCCAAAGTTCGTCTCTCGATACTGAATTTGTCAATTTCTTCTGGTTCTAGGTAGACAGGTAGAATATGATCCTACTTTCCAAGGACCGCTTAAGAACAGATCCTGCACCGATGTCATATGTCTGTTTCTGTTTATCGTCTTCATCGCTTGCTGGATCGGCGTTGGACTTTTCGGTATGATAGATACATCTTTTCAAAGGTCACGCAATCATCGATATCTTTCAGTTTTCACCAATGGTAACAAGGACATTCTGCTGCTGCCGGTCGATTCGAACAACAGCAGATGCGGCTACGATCCTCACGTCGCTGAAAAGAAGAAACTTTTCTTTTTCGATATCACCAAATGTCTGAGCCCGGCGGTTCCCTTTACCGGTTGCCCTACGAATCAAGTACGATTCTAACTCAATGTACTTTTCACTATATAATTTTTCACTATATGAATTTTCAGATATGCGTAGAAGAGTGCCCGAAAGACACGTTTCTGTGGAATAAAAACTCGGAACTCAATTACATGAAACTAAAATGCGTCCAAGGAATCCAACCGAAAAACAACGAGGAAGGAGATGATTTTGTTAATAAAGGTTTATGCGCTCGCTATCATCTGAAGAGCAATGATTGTAAGTTGATGCAATGCAAGCTCGTTTTATCCTGCTTCGTGTCCTTTAAAGTATGAACAGCTTCCAGATTTATGTTGTTGTGTTTTTATAGTCCTGAATCGGTGTTTGTACGACGTGGGCGAACTTGCCAAACTTTTCAATTCGAAGGAACTGGCCGAACAGACAAACCAGTCGATGCGTTTGGCCATTCTTGATTTTTACGATAAGGTACACAGGGCTGCGTCCTTCGTCGAGCTTACCGTTCACCTTATTCTTCTTCTTTTTAATTATGTCATCATTCTCATAAACATAAGCACACCACAACACACACACTCACATACCAATACTGAAACTTTTCTATCTTATATCTGGACTGTGCATGCATGAAATCACGCTCATATCTATTTAAATGTGTCTTTGTGCTCTCTATTTTCCAGTGTTGAACAGATGTATACCAGACGTAACTGATGATTTCTCCCAGATTACGAACCAAATAAAAGATTTAACCAAAGACAATGTAGAGACGTCCGTAAAAAATATTGAACTTCTCCAGAATATGGAGCAGGTAGAAACTAAATATTACTATTCTTTGTTGCGTGTTTGTGTGTCTACGTCCAACATTAACACTTTCTATTTCACAAATCACATTTCTAACTGATCGTTGCAAATACATGGTATTCATTTTCAAAACAAAAACTTAGATACTATCGGAAGAAATGTCTAAAACCGTATTTTTATTTTGATTCACTTAGGTGGGTCACGACATAATCAAGGATATTGTTGAGTCTTGGCGAGAGATCCTCGGCGGTATAGGTATCGCAATTGTGGCATGCTTAATTTATATGCTAATGTTGCGTTGGATCGCCGGTCCTGTAGTTTGGATCTCGATTGTTGCTACCATTGCAGGATTGGCTGCTTGTAAGTATAAAACTCTTCATCCGAAATTCTTTATGTAATTTCAATCTCTTCAATAGGTGTTTATTTCACGGTGACGTATTACATCTACTATAAAGATCACCCAAAAGAGGAAGCCAATGCCAACACCATTTTCCAGCAATACGTCAGAAAGAAGGGCTTCTGGCTTACTCTATTGATAATTTCTTCGGTGGCATTGCTTATTGATGTGTTGATGGTGATTTTCTTGAGGAAACGTATTTTCATCGCAATTGCTATCATTGGAGAAGCCAGCAAGTAAGTTTATAAAATTATTAAAAGTTTGACTTTTAATCTAAACCTTGATATTTCAGAGCCGTTAGTAGCACTCTGATGTCATTCGTTTTTCCAATATTTCCGTGGATATTCCAGATGGCTATCATTGCCTTTACTCTAGTCGTAGCTCTGTACATCACAACAATATCTTCCCCACAATATGAAGTTAAAAATTTTGATAAAAGCAATTGCAATGGAGACTATGAGGTAATTACAGAAAAGTATTTCTTTTCAGATTTAGTGATTAATGAATCGTTTGTTCCCAGGATGGAGACAGCTGCGATATGAACTCGTTCAAAAAAGTTAGAATTAACAATTGCAAAGCTACATGTGAATTCGTCGGCATGGGACTTTCTAGCTTACGGACCCCTTTACATGGTACTCGATCGTATTAAATTTGGTTTATCGTTGTTATTACACGTATATTTACAGTTTTTAATGGATTCGCCTTTTTCTGGAGTATTTTCTTCATTTCTGCTTTCGGGCAAATGGTCCAAGCAGGCATCTTCGCTACATGGTACTGGACAAGAGACAAGAGCGACGTTCCGTTCTGGTCAGTCACGAAGTCCGTGGCAAGGACCCTCCGCTATCATATCGGTACTCTGGCCTTTGGTTCTCTTATCCTCGCCATATGCAGAATGATTCGCGTCGCTTTAGAGTACATCGATCATAAGCTGAAAAAGTACGACAATCCGTTTACCAAAGCCATCCTGTGCTGCATGAAATGCTTCTTTTGGTGCTTAGAGAGGTTCCTGAAATTTTTAAACAAGAACGCGTACATCATGTGCGCAATCCATGGAAAGAACTTCTGTACAAGTGCGAAAGATGCGTTCAGTCTAATTATCAGAAACATACTACGATTCCACGTCTTGGATAAAGTAAATATGACCGGTGCTAAGATGGAAATGCATTAAAGTTGATCCGTTTATTTTAGGTCACAGATTTCGTCCTCTTCATGAGCAAATTAATAATCACAGCCGGAGTGGCGGCCATAGTCTGGAGCTTCGTAACGTACGTCAGCGAACGCCAGTTAAAGTACATTTTGGTGCCCGTAATATTCGTCGCTATTGTCACATATTTGGTGACATCCTTCTTTTTCAACGTATATAGCATGGCTGTTGATACACTGTTCTTATGTTTCCGTAAGTCTACAAATAGATACCATAAATATTTATTACATTATCTTTTTTTTAGTTGAAGATAACGAGAGGAATGACGGAAGCGCGCACAGACCATACTATATGTCTAAAAACTTAAGAGCAATTCTCGGCAAAAAGAATAAGACTTCCTAATTTTAAAATTCTTATGGAATCCAACGCATTTAAAACGATAAGCTTCGTGCCAAATGAAATATATATATTATTTGTGTGTATATTTGTATTTTTTAAGAAACAATTTAACATGTTTTAAAAATAGCTTGTTTTTTTGTTTGTTACAAAGGCTGATTTTAGTACAATATTTGCACAAATGTGTAAAGTAAGCGAGAAGTCTATTTTATTTATATAAATATATAAGGTTATTCAGTCAACTCTAGATTGTATAATAAGTTGAATTTGATTATCTATAAAACCCCTAAATCCTTCAAAATATCATAGAAAAACTGACCAGAGAAATGAAAATACAAGAAATACTAATTTATTGTTTATTAAGACAAATACATATTGTTTATACTTTAATAACGGTTTTTGCGTTATTCTCCGGTTCCTCTTTTACTAATCCATCTACATCAACTTGCTTTAATATGTCGCAAATAAGTGGTGACTCGACTCCCAGGATGTACTCGCAATACTTTGGTTCAAGAAGATATAGGGAGACTGTGTGAATACTGGCGTTTTCTAAGCATTTTAATTTGACTTCAGTCTGTCGCGCCTTCCCCGTTTTATCACAAACACTTCCCTCCGAATAGAAATGCGAGAGTTGATTCCGTGCTGACAAAGCTTTTGGTCTTTTATGTGGATTTTTCTGAAGCCATTCAATGTGATTCTCCTTGTTGAAAATGCCCAAATTTATTGAGATCTTGTTACCATCCTCCTGGGTGTGGTACTGTGTGACAGATTTTCCATAGCAAAATTCGTATCTCCACCATCCTGAGCCACCATTTAAGCAGGTATCACCCCTCAAGAAGCTTTTTACAGGTGACATTTCTGCAGGACTACTGGTTTCAAATACTTTGCTTTCTTCCTCTTTCTCATTGGAAATAACTGGCATAAACTCAATTCTTATATCAACATTGGCACCATTCTTTAACTTTTTACCTTCATGCTGCATTTTCGCCAAGTTGTATGGCTTCTTAGGAGCGTTATTGAAAGGCAAGCAATTCACAAAATTCTGACTAGTTTTAGTTGGTTTATATTTGCGATGAGAACAAAGCAATGGAGTAAGAATAATAATCTCATATTGGCAAGTTGATGTTTCTTTTAATGAGTATATATCATTTTTGCCATAGGGATAACAAGCATACAACACAGTAGTTTGACGTGGCTTGTTTTCGTTCAAATCGCATAATGTTCCATTGTCCATGACTATCTCAAAATACCGTAAATTATTGCCATCAATTTTTTTTGTGGGTGGAGAAATTGTATTCTGTTTCTCAGCCTCCTCTGCATATCTTTCTAATGCTGCTTCATCAATCTTACCTAAAGTGTACTCTTGCACCTTCACAGTCTTTCCTTCTCTATCCTCATGGTATTGTCGAATATGTCTGCCATGGCAAAATTCATATGTCCAATATGTGTCTAGCCTGTACACACACGGCCAATATGGTAAAAATAAATCAGAAAGCAGTTGATATGCATTTGGGCCTTTATACTGCTCATTCCCAGTATCCTCCTTATCTTTGACATATGGTAGCACACATTCATACATTTCATTGTGAGAACTCTGCACAACTAGCCTGTCTCCTTCGAACTTTTCAGCATCAGCTATGGCTCCAGGAAACTCAATATTGTATAGGATGGAATCATCCAAACCCTTAAGATCAATACCATTACAGGTATAGACACTTATCACTAACACAAATAATTTTAAATCCATTTTTATAAGCTTATCAACATTTTTTCATTAAGATACCTCTTCTTAAATCAAAATTTCACACGTAAATAATCATTATTTTGACAAACATTTTTACCAACTTAAGAACAGGTAAAATTGATATTGTAAATAAAATTGCCTATATCAATGAAAAATCGCAAAATTAAAATTATCATTAAAATCGCAAAAATCCTGTACGAATGGACAAATTAGATAATAATAATATGGGTGCAATGCAATAAATACTTAGAAATAAAATGTTTAATCATTATGTTTAATTCAAACATTCATTAAGCGTTTAGTATATATATATAGAGTAATCAATAAATATATAAAAGTCAATCAGACTTTTTCGTACCAATATGTCTCTTTGGCGGTTTTGATATAATACTTAAAGCTCCTTTATAAACGTATGGTATTAATCCCTCGATCCTATTGTCTTGCTTCAAGTATAAAGCAGGTGGAAGCACCACAGAACCTAATATTAAATGATCAACAGCTTCCATCTCAGTTTCATCCAAAGGTGCCAGCAATGTAATAATATTCAATTCCTTTGAAATTCCTCTAACAATACCTGAAAATATATTACAATTTAAATTTGAATCACACCTTATAAATATAATTATCCTTCGTACCCCAGCCGTGGCAATTGTAAATTTTGTGTTCCTCGTTGGCAACAGAACAAAGACCCACAAGTGTTGCATTTACTGTCATCGGATTACATTCCTTTCCATCATGAATTATTTTAACTTCAGATAAATCGGACCTTAAAATGCAAAACAAGCGTTTATCGTTAAACAAATTCATCCTTTTATATTACCTATAAATTTTAACGTCTCTCTCAGTTAGATGATTGCAATGGTTAGGCATCATTTGACTGAAATAAGATAGAATGCAAAGCTCGCGAATATTCCTAGGCATTAGATCTCCATTGTTCAAGTCGGTACAAACCGATTTTATCTTTAAATAATTGAAACTGAGCTCATTGCTGTTTTCTGGTGTAAGCAGTATTCTATTCCTCTTCACACAGTCGATAGTTAAATCCTCCTTGAAGTTCTTGGGTCTATGATCGCTGTAAATTTGAACAACCTGCGTCGGTTGAACTTCGGCGATGATAGACGACAATAAGTTAATTCCTAAACCATCAGTCATTCCCATTAGATTGATAAAAGTTGGCAGTTTTAAGTCGGCCGACACTTTTAGTAATTCTTGCACGCATTTTAAAAATGCAATGCTATTGATGCCAATATCGATATAAGGAACAAATATACACCTAAAAGAAAACAAACATAAAATTATTACTTTAAATTTGATAAATTATAAGAAAAATACCTTTCAGGTTTTTGAAGATGTGTGTAATTAGGTCCAATTAATGGTGTCTGAACAATTGTAGCTGAAACGCATCCAGGAACTGTAAACTCTGGCTGTCCAGGGTCCAAATCCAAGACAAGAATTTTCTGATGCTCTGCCAGCAGCTTGTTGATTAAAACCCTAAGAATTGTGCTCTTGCCAACGCCTTTGCCTCCACACAACATGACTTTACTGTTCTCATTAAAACTTTCAGTAATTAATTTCCAATCATCATTGATTTTGAAATAATTCCATTCATTGTCCACATAATCCCTAATAGACACCTCCTTAGGGAATACATAATGTTCATTATAATCATTGAGGAATGACACCCATTTGTTCTTGATCTTTTTGCAGATGATTAAAGCCATGCCCTGTTTCAGGGTGGATCTTAATCTGTCAGCAGTGCTGCGTTCCAAACCGGCTTTAATTAATTTATTCACGAAATCTCTATGAACAATTTCGTCATTCTCGTTCCTATTTGAAATATCCAAGAAGCAAGAGCCTCTTGGTGAAAATGCCTTTGTGGCAGGTGATAATTTATCCAGCCTCTTGCAGAATATCTCAATGGCTCCATAGACCACCTCAATTTCCATCAACCCATGGAAGTATATTATAGAGCTCATGTCCAGCCTGATTACTCTGCCATTGGTTATTGCCCATGTCTCATAATTACCAGTGATAGTTCTATTGCCTCCTTTGATAACAATCTCTTGCTCATCAAAGCTCTTATCATCATCATTGTCAATAACATTTTCATCTTCTTCTTCTTCATCATCATCATCATTGTCAAAGGAATTTTCCTCAAGGAAATTTATGCATTTGTTAATGTTTATTGGCTTTGAGGCTACATCATTTTTACTTTCATTCATAGAACACTCAGCCTCATCCAAGAAATCATCTAAACACTCTATCTCATTGTAATCACCAACCATCTTAACATCATTTGGTTCGAGAAAGTTCTTTATGAACTTGGTGTACTTAGTAGCTGTGCAATTAATTTCAATACTCTTATTTAGAAGAGGTTTATTGATAGTTTGACTTAATTTTAGGCCTCGTTTCTTTTTCTTTATTGCCTTTACAGAAGGATTCATATCAGGTGTTCCTCTAAATTTTGGCTTTGATTTGTTCTTACTAACCTTCTTAACATCCACTTCTTTCGTGGAAGGAATATTAACATTTTTAGATTTCGTCACTTTCATTTTAAAACAACAATCGACAACGAGGTCTTACACTTTACTAAAACAACAATGTTTTGGGTTATTGTTAGAGGTTATGTCAGTTTATCATATGTGAAAAATATTTTAGGATCTATCACATAAGTACTATAACAATTCTTTTCATTTACAATAATTTTTAAAATATAACTCATCAAAGGTCTGTGAACTTTAAATTATCGATTTATTCTTAAAAGAACACTAAGGGATATTTATTATTTTAAGGTTTACCATGCTGAAAATGTTTAGGTGCGTTGGTAATGTTTCTTCCCCCACTTGGTTTGTATTCAACTTCAGTGTATTTGGTGTCCTAAGTATGGCGATCTTATATGACGTTCTTTTTTGCTGAACTTCAGCGATGGTGAGTTCAATCTTGAAATATCTCGTGCATCGAGTAGTGGACGCCGTGAGTAGTGGACGTGAACCATGAATAAATAGTTTGAAAAACGACTTGCATATAATATTTGATCAAGAATGGATAATTTTATATCCTACGATAAATGTTTGAGCGAGGAAGAGATTAGAACTTTGGAGCTCCAAAACTCCCGTTTGGTGTCCGAACATAAAGCAAAGATGCTAGAAGTTGAGGCCAAGAAACATTGGGATTTGTTCTACAAACGCAATGAGACTCGGTTTTTCAAAGATCGGAATTGGACAACTAGAGAATTCGAAGAACTATTGGACGATCCCAGCAAAACCGTTACAAGGACGATATTTGAGATAGGATGTGGCGTCGGAAACTTCATATTTCCTCTTGTTAAAGATGGTTTGAATTTCAATTTCCTCGCTTGCGATTTGTCTCCAAGAGCAGTGGATCTTGTTAAGAGCAATGAATTGTATGATGGAGTAAGGGTTAAAGCTTTTCAAGCTGATGTTACAACCTGTAATTTAGTACAAGAAACTGCTAGTGATGTGGTAGACATTGCCACCTTGATATTTGTTTTATCTGCTATTCATCCAGAAAAATTCTTTGCAACATTGAAGAATATCCATACTGTCATTAAACCTGGAGGAATCTTACTATTTAGAGATTATGGTCTATATGATATGGCACAATTGAGGTTTAAAGCTGGACATAAAATAGCTGACAATTTTTACATGCGTCAGGATGGTACAAGGAGTTATTACTTCTCAACAGACTTTGTGGACAACTTGTTTAAGAAAGCTGGCTTTGAGGTGATCTCTAACAGCTATGTTCATAGAAGGACCATTAACAAAAAAGAGAATATTGATGTACCCAGGATTTTTGTGCAAGGAAAGTTCAGGAAAATTTAAAAGGTAATATATTAGTTTAAATTAATTAAAATTTTTGTGAAGATACAATTTGAATTAACCCTATGATTAAAAACTTGCCTGGAGGGAGGTTGGCTGGAACGAGCATCAGTTAGTACTGGATGTGGTATAATTCCATATTTACATGTGAATTCTGGCCTTGCGGCTCCCAATGATCACAGATTATGAGATATGAGGGTTAATAAACTAATTTTATTTTTTTTTAAATCTTGTTTTATGCAATTCTAATGATTTTTTTGTTTATTTACAGAAGCAAGAGTTTACTTTTAATCTACAATTTTTGGTAAGTTAATATTTTTTTTTTTACTTATGTAATTGAAAGTATTTTTTTAAATGATGATTGGCATGCACCACTCTTATGTACAATGCAGATAACGAATACCTGTGACTGAAAAAAATATATTTCATTTCATATTTTCTTGTTAAGTATATAAATATATTATAATAAGTATTTCTTATTGCAGATTTGAAAACCATGTCCATAAGATCCTGAGAACTATTACAAATTTGAAGGTAAGCATGTGATAAAAAATACTAAATATGTAGTGCTCTTTATTTTATGAAGGAATAATTAGATTATATTAGGAAAGTCACAAACTATTTGTTACTTGACTAAAATTGTAATGATGATCAATAAAACATGCACTACCAACTGAAGTTTATGCTGAGATAACACCGAGTTAACTGATAATTAAATTAAAAAATTAATTCATAAAGTATTTTCTTCGATGATGTATTAATTCTTTGTTTCTTTTATAGAATTGCATAACTCTTTATTGCCGGTTCTTGAAGTCCATGTAATGCCAATGTTCCACTACACAAAGGTTTGTCATACTTTTATAATTATAGTACACAAGTTTATCATGTTCTTACAAAATAAAATTCTGTATAAATGGACAATTTGGAAATCAATGCTATTGAAAAAAATGTATACTATAGTTTGTACTTATTTAATGATGATCAATCAAACATGCACTACCAACTGAATTTCCGTGCTGATACGACACCGAGTTAACTGATAACACAAGTCTATAAAATACTTACAAAAGAAATATTTTGAACATTTTGTTAATTATTTGCTTTTCTTTCAGATCATAACGTATAATACATTATTGGATTTTCGTTTTTGGATGACTGAAGTTTCTAAAATACTAAGGTGAGATATTTTTTATTGTTTTAAATTTATATATTGAAAAAACGTGTTTTTACATAAACATACCTTTTTTTTTAATGATGATCAATCAAACATGCACTACCAACTGAATTACTGTGCTGATACGACACCGAGTTAACTGATACAATAAGTTTACGCGAAACTTACAAAAACTATATTTTGGGAATTTTATTAAATATTTTTCTACTCTTTTAGATCTTATTCAATGTACGTCGATGGGTATTTGTTCTCTGATGTCATGGTTTCCTAAATACTAAGGTGAGATTATATTTTCATTCTGCTTTAAACGCGTAGATAGAAAAACCGTGATTTTGCATAAAATAGCTTTTTATAATGATGATCAATCAAACATGCACTACCAACTGAATTTCCGTGCTGATACGACACCGAGTTAACTGATAACATAAATTTACGCGAAACTTACAAAAACTATGTTTTGAGAATTTTATTAATTATTTTGTTTCTCTTTTAGATCTTATACAATATACGTTGATAACTTTTCTGATGGTTGTGGTTTCCTAAATACTAAGGTAAGATGATAATTTCAGTCTGTTTTAAATACATAGATTAAAAAACCGTGATTTTGCATAAACTTCGCTTTTTTTTTAATGATGATCAATCAAACATGCACTACCAACTGAATTTCTGTGCTGATACGACACCGAGTTATCTGATAATACAATAAATCATTAATTTATTAAACTTATGTTGTAGAACTTTTATTAAGTAACTTGTTTATTTTTAGATCCAAGATTGTGCACTTTGGAGATTCTTCATATTCTGATAGTCTACAGTAATTGAAATATGGTGAGTTTATAATTACTTTTTATATAATGTTGAATCGCGTTTTATACCGATGAATTAAGTTTTTTTTAATGATGATCAAACAAACATGCACTACCAACTGAAGTTCTATGCTGATACGACACCGAGTTAACTGATAATACATGTTCACAAATAACTTAAATAGTTGTTTTATACGATGAATTAATTATTTTACGTTTGTTTTAGGTCAGAAGATCAACTTTTTGGAAGCAGTTCATTTTCTGATGATAGATGTTTTCAAAATGTTAAGGTGAGAATACTTTTACAATTGCGTAGATTGTTTTAAAGAACCTTATTAAGTTAATCAAATTATTAAATACAAATTTCTAATGATGATTGGTATGCACCACTCTTAATCTTTATGTAGATAAATCAATACCAGAGCCTGAAAATAAGTTTATTGAAACTAAATTTAATATTTTTTAAAAAACATTTTTAACCGTCAGATTTTCAGATTTTACATTACTGATGTGGCTTTAACTTGAAGAACAACCAATATTGAAAGGTAAATATATTTAATCAAAATTTTATAAAAAGATCTGTTGGATTATCTAAGATATAAAATTAATTTAATTAATATTTTAGATAATAATGACAATTATATTAAATGATGATTGGCATGCACCACTCTTAATGTATTTTGTGTAGATGAACAATACCAGAGACTGAATTTAAAAAAAAAAAATATATTTATTATTATGTGAAATATTTTTTTCTAAAGATTTTTTTTATTTGCAGAACGCCAAGCCACGTCTTTGTTCCTGATTTTAAAAAAATGATCATTAAAGAAAATACAAGAGGTAAGATTTAAAAAATATTGTGGTGGAATAATTGACATATTAATATAATGATGATTGCATAGTTCAGATGAATAATTCCATGATTATTTATGCTTTTATGTCTTTCGCTCCTATCTGAAATATCACATTTCAGTATTAATTAAATATTTACTTTTAACAGTTCATAATTAATTTTGGTAAATTGTTACAGATTAACTACTACTCTTGGGTCATAAAACTTCATCACTGAAGCAAAAATATTGTAAGTTATATTTGACGTTTATTAAAATAAAAAATATTTATAAATGCACATGATGATAGCATAGTTCAGATGATCTAATCCATGATTATTACTAGCATTGTCTTTCGCTCCTATCTGACTAATTATATATATATATTCTAATTAATTATATTAGTATATTATTGTATTATTAATTTTTTGATATTTTGTTCTAGATCTTTCCTTCAGAACACATTGGAATATCTGCTTCAAATATTTGCTTTAGGTGAGTTTTATAATATCAAAATTAATACACTTTATGGTTCTGTTTCTGTTAAAATATGAAGGTTATAGAACCTTAAGAAATAATTTAAAATGATGATTGCATAGTTCAGATGATTAATCTATGATTATTACTAGCATTATGTCTTTCGCTCCTATCTGATTTTCTTTAATAAAAATAAGAATTATTGTATTATTTTTATGTAAATTTTACTAAATCTATTATTTTCGTTACAGATTTGCCTAGAGAAGAAAACTTACCTGCAGACGATCACTGTTAGCTTATATTGAGGTAATTATTTGAAAAATAGAATTTTATAATCAAAGTAAATGATTATTGCTATGATGATTGCATAGTTCAGATGAAAATCAATGATTATTCTATGTTTTTATGTCTTTCGCTCCTATCTGAAGACGAACAACCTAAAAAATGTTGTTAATTTGTATTACTAAGTATATTAACACGTTTTTATTTCTTGTTTCAGGTAACAACTGTCCGGATGTAATTGCGTAAATTACGTTTTTTTTTGTTACAAATATAATTACAATATTTGGCTGTGAGAAAATTATAACCCAAAGTTATTTGAATATAATCTGAATAAATTATACTTTGATAATAATTATATAGAAAAGTTTCTTTTATAATGAGTACCTCCAATGTCACCACAATCCTGTATCTGTTAATTTTTAATGCCGATGGTGGAAGTATAAAATAAACAGTTGCTGCAATGGTTTTTTCCAGTTTCATTCATATTTTATCGCTATGATTTCAGAGCGAAAATTGCAGAAATTGTCGAAGGGTTGTTTGGTATTTTGTAACATTTCCCCGACCTTTATTTAATATAGAAATTTTCAGATTTTGCGAATCACTGCGGACAGGATGCAGCAAAACGTTGTCTGCTCTTTCCGAAATTTGTTCTGCAATCTTTGTGTGTATGGCCGGATAATGATGATTTTGCCAAACGTTGGATTATCATTTTGACGATTGTTTCGTTAGGAATCATGGAAGTGGCGCATGTGGTGTACGTTTGCATGAACATCACGAGCATTTCCAAGGCTGCATCAGCTTGCACGACAGTTTCTACAACTTTCGAAGTATTTTGATAATTTTACTATTTACGCTATTTGGTTTACTACAAACATTTGTAGACTATGGCGAAGCTGGCTACAATGGTTTACTTTCGCGATGAACTGAACGTCATTCTCTGTGCTATTTGGCACGACTTTTGGCCAGCCAATTTGACCATTTCGCAGGAGAGGTTGAAGGAAATCAAGATTCGCAGCTGGTACATCATCGGGGTCGCCTCAACCTTCCTGCTGATGGCTTACATATCCTGCGCCCAATTTATGTCATTTCCCTTGATCGAGAATACTGAGCATTTGCCATTGGCTTCATGGTATCCGTTCGATCATACCAAAAGTCCACTCTACGAGGTTTTGTACATCTGGCAATGGTTCATGAACCAAGTGGTCATCACCACATTAAGCGGCTTCGACGTATTTTTTAATGCAATCGTGATGGTTTGTTCCACACAATTCCAAGTCCTTCAAGACGTTTTGGAGAACTTGTGTTTGGGAAAAGGTAGAAAGCAATGGGACTACATGGAAATTAAGAGCGAGAGTAGGATTGTACACGAAAATGAAGCTATCGTCGTATGCGTAAAGCAGCATCTTAAGATGATTAGGTTTCATGTATACTCATAATATAATTGATTATTTTTTAACCTATTGAATTTTCAGTGTTTGCGAAATGGTTGAATCAACCTTTGCTCATATTGTTTTCATCCAGTTCATTGTTAGCACTTTAGCAATTTGCGTTTCCTGCGTATCTTTGGTAAAATGATTATAATATATAGTTTGAATCAATAATACAAGTGAATCGCAGATTGCAGATCCAACTCAGTTTCAGCACATGCTCTCGTATTGCGTCGCGCATTTGCTACAATTCTTTATTTATTGTTCAGTGGGAAATGAGTTAACGTTTCAGGTAATTAATACAATTGATCTGTTTTTTTTAGGCAAATTAAAGTTATTATTTTCGCGTAGAGTGGATTGGTGGCAGAATCTGCCTACAATTGCGACTGGGAACGGAATACTAATAACTTGTTCTTGATGAGGAGTCTCGCTATGATCATTCAAAGAGCGCAACGACCGGAAACACTCACAGTTGGAGGTCTAATGCAGCTCAGTTTTGCTAATTTTATGGGGGTAAAGATCAATTATTCAAATATTATAATTTTAAGTAATATTTTCTCATTCGCAGTCCATTCAGCTCTCCTTCTCGTTCTACACTTTACTCAATTCTTACGTGTAATATTTGGTTAAACCAAAACTATTATACTATTTATTTGCACTTATTTAAATATACTTTTGCTCTATATTCAATATAGAATACTTATGGAATAAAAAATTCGGAAATTTTATATGGTTATTTGTTTTATATAACACAAATTTTTCAACTCGTTAGGTAGCAAAATTAGGTAAGAGTAATGAAGAAGAATTCACATGTTAATGAAACTATGTCTCAGCATCACCAAAATAATTATCATTCTTTGCATTTTGAAATATGCGTAAATGTTGGTATTGTCGATTAAAGCAAATACTGAAGAAAGTACATGAAAAGCAATTGATGGTTAAATTGAATTACAAACGTGGATATGAGAACTAGCCATTTTTCGAAAGCTTCTACTTCCATTATAAAGATCCTTTAACAGATGTCGTGAATATCATGTTGAAATACCTGTTGGATTTGTCTGAAAGAGTCCATTTCCATTAGCAATCCGAAGGCAGTTTCCGCTACTCACGCAACATCAAACCTTTCCAAATGGTAGCACTTGGCATCCATAACTGCAAAGAGACAATTAGAGATGCACGAGAGACAATCATGTCTTTTGCGCGTTTCAAATATGTGCAATTTGGAGAACGATCTACTAGCTTTGGTCGCCATAAATGCATTATTGGTGATCGCTTTAAATGTATAAATATAAAATACAAAACGAAAGATCTATAATTTAATTTATATTGATTAGAATATGCGTATGATAGTTGATCAACGTAACGCCATAACATAAAACAATATGTGCATACCGAATTTAGATTTTATTATCATATAGAGCAGAGCGTCAAACAGTTTGTGGAATTGGTAAAACTTAAGAGACGTTTATTATTGAATCATCTGACAATAGCCGTTAAGCGCACTATTTAGAGGCTATTGTCAGATGATTCAATTATCATAATTGTGGATATGATTGTCATCTGGTGATATTCACGAGATTGTTCAAATTGGTACAATATTCAAATTGCGTATTTTATAGAGGTATTCGTATTGTGCAAAGTGGGAACGAAGATGAGGAAATTACTGATGAAGCTCAGGCAATTTGAATTACTTCATCATCGCGATTAAATATTAAGATGCATAGAAAGGTAGGGCAATTATCTTTTCGAGGAGACTAATCCAAGTTTTGACAATATTTGTGTCAAAATTCCCTTTATGAACATGGAAGTATTCTCTATTTCAGCGAAATTTTGGTGAACTGCGTCTTCCGACTTATCAAAGTCAATGATCAGTTATGAGTGGATTTCATCAATGTGCATAGAATGTACTTAAAGCATAGGATGGAGAATAAAAAATATTTTATCCAAGGGAAAGAGATGTACGATGAGGATGACGGAAATTTTGTTGATTGTAACGATGATGAGGATAATACGAGTAGACACAACCTTTGGAACGGAGAGGATTCCGGCTACTGCAAATCAAGTGATGACGTGCCAATCACCTTTCAAACGGAGGGCTATGGTAAATATTGCTCCATGGACAACATCTTGGATCTAGAAGGTATTAACCAATCATCTTAATAGGACATACATTAAGTATTGCTCCCGTTCCATCATCCACGAATCCCGTCATTCCCGAAGACGAATGCCTTCCCAGCACGTCCGCATCTGAAAGCGTCGACGATAGCGAAAGCTTTGCTATGCAACTGATTTACAACTCACTAAATTTCATCGGATTCTCCAGAGCCGAGCCCTCCGTCGAAGGTACCAAGTTTGTTATTTGCATTTCGTTGATTCTTTTTTGTAAAATGAAATATAGATGATTCCGTTTCCAATCCCGAACACAGCGATTCCGTGAATCTGAACCAGGCAAGCAAAGAGGCTCTCTTCGATTCAGATTCTCAACTGGAAATGCCGGATGAATGTAATTCGCAGGATGAAGAACATATGAACGATGATCCCGTTCTTATAAGCGTTAACCTGAATTCTGAAGAGTTAAATCCTGGTAAATTTTTCTCTTATCTTCCTTGTGTATTAGTTAGTTGCATGAATTTTTAGAGGATCCCAGTCCGTTTCCCGATTGGTTAATACATTTATTCGATCAGCAGAACGATGATGATGAGAATCACGACGAGCCACACTTTTACTGCCAAGGCGACGGTTTAGGTTCGATCGGATGTGGTACAAAGGTATCAATTAAAAGACTTGTTTCCGTCAGGTGTCCATCCTTCGGTCATCGAGATGAACGACACGGATGAATCCAGTTCCGAGAGCTCCGTGGATGAGGCGCAAGCGGATCAAGTCGTTTCCGACGACGATGTCACCATCACCATCGGCTCCGATTCGCGTACGAACTTGGAGATTATAGGCCGTTCTTTCGCCCTGCAACTGAACTTAACGCAGAGCGTTGTCAGCACAGAAAGTAATAATTCTGAGAATACCAGCAATAAGAAATAAAGTCGCATAAGAATACTGCTTGATAACTAACGCAATCGGTTTTCATATTTTATTTATTTATGTGTAGAACATAATCACAATTATATAAAGCCTGCATTCAATTAAGGTATAAAAGCCGTACTCTAATCAAATGTATGTTTGTTAGATGATGAATTTCTATATAAATGCATTAATTTGCGATTTTTTGGCACAGATACTCGACGTTCATACTAACGTACACTTTTTCAATACATACCAAATGCTTATGAGTACATATTACAATACGGTGGCAATCGCAAGCCCGACAACCGAAATTCCAACGTTCGAAATCCCGAGTGTATTGAAATCCCGATGTTCGAAATCCCGAGTCTTTCGGTTGTCGGGCTTGCGATATAGACCCATTACAATAGATATGTGTACGTATTATTGAATTACTTATAAGGATGTACGTATTATGTAGATCAATCCTTCAAAATTTATTTCAGGTGACGATTAAGAAATTATTTACAATTTCAGCATTTACTACTTAAAATACATTACTCTTTATTAATATTTATAATGAAAAACATTAAAGTTTATTCGCTACAAATATAAATGTAGCATAACTTTTTTTCAACTTTAACTTAACGATTGATATTAAATTATACATTTGTAGACAACTTCCTATAGGGATGGTTTGCTTGTGAGCTGTTGCTTGTTTGCTTACGAGCCGGAAAATAAGTAATTAAATCTGCTAATGCCATCTATTGAAATATTCATAGAAATATTCATATATATAGAAGCTTTTTCGAGCTTTGTTCAGTGTTGTCCCGTTATTTCCAATAGATGGAGTTACAATATAATTAATGAAATATACTTTGATATTTGACTATTGTAATAATTATATAATAATTATATAAATATTGTCTATATAGTAAAATAAATATATTTTTTGTTTTTTGCATTTCATATTTACACGTCTTTTATTATCTATTTCACAAAATAAAAAAAATAACGACAAGTTTATTGATTAATAATCTTAAGGAATAACCTTTCTTGTTTTTACCTGTCTTACCGTATCTCCTATGTATATATTTTATAGAAGTTAATTTAAGTTTGGTTTAATAGTTATTTTTTAGTTTCGTTATAAGAAGTTGTTTATTTTAATTATTTGGGCTGAAGAATGAAGTTTTGGTTTTATTGGAAGATGCTGTTTAATTAAATATTTGGGCGGAAGAAGAAATCCGAAGAATAAGTCTTATTTACGTTTTTGTGCTTTGACTGAACAGACAGTGGCTGGCTTATTGGCGCGTAATGCGGAAGCCAAATGAAGAAGTGGGAAGGAAGAAGGAAAATTATTAATTAGTAATTTTTTACTCATTTTAAATCATTATTCTGTTCAATTACTATAGTATAAGTCTACAATTTACCTATAACAGAATCTATTCATGTCTGAAAAAAAAACTAAAAATTAAATTGTAAAATATTAACTATTAAATCTGGAAATTGTTTCTCATTGAAATATAGTTTGAAGAAAAGCTACCATCTGTATATACGAAATTCTCTGTTGTCTCTCAAAATTATATATTAGTGCCTTCACTGTTAATCTTAGCTAATGAGACGCTTGTAACTGTCACTACATGCCAAGAAATCCCTTACGTTGAACGTTTTACCACAATATAATTAAACTAATTACCTCGGAAGTAAATATTTAACTTTGAAAATCTGTCTGTATTTCTATGAACGAAATCGTACACCAAGTTCAGTCAGCAAATGCTTCCATTAAAAAGATTTTTTATGTTTACAGACCTTTCTCTGATCACTTTTGGTGGTTATCGAATTCCAGTTTAAATTGATTAATTAAGCTATTTGCGTCTTTGAAAAATTTCAAAATTGTCAATTTAAATTACATAACAACCTTCAATAGTTGATAAATATTAAGAATAATGATAACAATTTATATATATATCATGATAATTAGAATTGAAGAATTGTAGTCCCTAAATCTGTTAATAAAATTGGATTTCAATAATAATACTAATTTTTACACTTAATATCAAGAAGTAAGTGCATGTATTTACTTTTTTTTTGGTTCGTATATTTTAAATAACAATTTTGACATTAAATTGCTCAAAAATCCTTAAAAAATCATACGTTTTATTGATTATAAATTAAAAGTTAAGCGAGCATTATTATGTTTTTTTTTAAACTAACAACTTTTGGGCAATATTCGACTTTATTCATCAACATAGTCTCTTTCAAGAGTTATACATTCATTCCAAAGCTTCTAACATTTCGATACTTTGTAGAGCGATTTATCTTTGGTCTCAAAATACGCTGCAGTTTCGGCAATCACTTTTTCATTGGAGTACAAAAAGTTAGTTAGTTGTACAAAAACTTAAGTTTTTTTGAAATTATATTAATGTTTAACAAGAATATCAATAAACATAATGTGTTACATATATAATAATCAATATATAAAAGGTTATAGTAATTCTCATCATTTGTATATACGTACTCGATGTTCACACAAACGTACAATTTATACATTATGTTGCTCAGATTATCATAACCACGTTTGTATCATTGAATGTGAATTAAAATCTAAGTGAATGCTATTATATTTGTTTAAAGTAAAACAAAAATTAAAAGTGTATTTATTTCATAATCATCGTCTTTCAAATGTGCGTATAAATTGTTATTTTCATAATAAATAAATCTATATAAATAATTTATTTATAGAAGGATGTTTCTTACTAAAGGTATGAATCTTGATACCATCCTATGTTGAATCAGTTGAAGAAGTTGTCTGTTTCAGTTGTCTAAAATTTTATTTGGTCTAGAAATTTAGGAATTTCTGGCAAAGACCAAAATTACTTTCATAAACTTTATTACTGCATCAAATCTAAAATAATAATAATCATTGATAAATAACTTCAATTTCAAACTATATCAAATTATTACTACACGGCACAATTTCTACGATTCTTGAATTACAAATAATGTGGATGTGCCGGGTATTTCAAGGTGCATCTAAATGCGAACAGAAGTACTGAAATATATCGTTCCATATAACAAAATTACGTAAATACTGCATCTCGTGATGTCCACACAGATGAGCGACGGTTTCGCGGTTTACTTGAAGGTCGCATGTTTAATAAGGCGGCGGCAATAATTAATAGTGCGACTTGACATTTCATCTGTCATTCTAATCCTATGAATGGGAATTTCACTCCAGTTTCTGGACGTAATTTGCTTTAATATGCATAATGGATGAGGCAGACCACGATTAATATGTTATTAATCGAGAATGCTCGAAATACTTGTGTGCGCGAACGCACTTACTTTATTCTCTGGCATCGAAAACGAACGATGGGCGAAGTTTGGATCGCAATAGGAGATTAATCGTTGGCTCATTAAAATTATTTCCGTGTGCAGTTTTCCATCTACTATCGTCTTTACATAAGGACGATTATATACTTACTATACGCTGGACGTATACTGCGTCTATGTTCGAAATACACGACGGTTCGTATTTTCAGTAGGAGTTGCGGCCGCCGAAATTGAAAGCAGTTTTATTTCCGCGCCAGACGCGCCGCAAGGAATTAAATCCGGACCCATCCTGCCCACATAGATCACGAAAATAAGATCATTCCATTTGCTCATCCTGCGCCCGATTCATCAAGGCCGAGCGGAAATTCGTGCATACAGTTAGTAAGGAAAATAGTCCTGCAATCATCTTGGATAAGTACCAACCACTGACGAGATGCATTTCTTCAGACGTAAGTTTCCGGACTCTTTTTTTACGTATCACAATAATAAAATTTCAGAATCTTACAAACTTCCTAAAGTTGTATTTGTAATTTATTTTATAAAAGTCATATACATTAAATAACGCATACTCTAACAAGAATGAAATACACAATTTCAGGGAACAATTGTTTTCTAATTGGTCAAGGACTGTGTGATTTCATGTGGATAACAATTGTTATTCAAGCAAATCACATCCTCTCTACCAGACTATATAATATTAGTACTGATTTAGTAAATGATATAAATCACCCATCCATGTATTATCTTTGCCACTCGCTACTTAACTTTATTAAATCATAAAGCACTCAATTGACAGATAAATTATTTTGCTGCATTCAAAAACATGTAAAATTTACGAATATAAATCTTAAGTTTAAGTAAAGTTATAAATTAAATAAAACAATTATATTACATAATTTATAATTTAAGCACGATGAAAGGACAATTTTCATGTTTAAAAACAATATTCATCAAATAAATAATAACAATAAATCTAATTTATAGAATCAATAAAATTAACGAGCTAAACTAATTTAATTCTTTAAAAAAGTGATGAATTTAAATGCAGAATTGTAAATAAATTAAAGATTTACTTTCTTCACTTAGATCTCTAAAAGCTCTGACATTTTAGAGCAGTGATGGCAAACCTTTTGGGATAAGTGTTTCAACATTTGGAAAAAACGTAACATAACTCGGATGTCGTGTCACTTGGACACGAGGGGCTTGAATTCCAATATTTTTCAAGTCTGATGAACATTTTTTGACGTGTCACTCAAAATGTTTCACTGTGTCACCACTACTGACACGCATGTCATAAGTTTCAATTGAAAATAATTTATCAGAGTCATTTTTTTTCTGCAAGTTAAAAAGTTAATATTTCAAAATATTTTTTAAGTTGATCAATAATTAAATTATCATTTATTAATTTGATATTATCGTAACACATGTAATTTCTATTTAAGTTTTTTTCAGAAACTTAAAATCAATAATGTAAAATATTGATATTGTTTAACTTGCAATTTTTGTTATTATTTGGAATGATTCTTGGAGGCAAAAATAATCATATTATTTGAAAAAAGTAGAGTTTGTGGAATATTTATATAAATAAACTACATTAATGAAATTGATATAATTAATTAATTAAATATAATTACGTTACGTTTAAATAAAGACTTAAAGTTAAAAAGTAATTCTGAATATTAACAAAATTTTATTTTTTTCTGGAAATTGTAGCTAAACTTTGTATCGTACTTATTTCAATTATTCTAAAAAGATTAAAATATGTAAATGAAGTGAAACTAAATCAATAGGTTTTAATTGATTAACAATGAACTAGGAAATTTATAATAGAAAATTGTATTTTGTCTATTTATACGTAAAATTTTAAATACATATACAGGTATCCCCCGACCTACGAACTAGTTTTGTTCCAAAGCGTTGTAAGTCGGGAGAACTTTAAAAATTTCAAAATATACTTATCTTATCACACTTTATCGTGGTTTTTACTTTTATAAATGTTAAATTCTTTACTTACAAATACTTTTCAATGTAGACATCACAAATATTTAATAAAAAAACGACAAAAGAAGCAAAAGCAATAAAACAGATATTACATCTTCCAAAAATATTATATTTTATTAAAGAAATTATTAATTTTTGTTTTGACATTTAATTTTTTATCACTTATATCTCCTTGTAACAAGTTATAGCTTGTTGATTAATGAAAATTGTATCGTAGTCTTCTGTGTGAATTTTCTAACGTATACATTTATTTTTTCAATTCAGTATGTGTATAATATTGTGAGAAATGTATTATAAACATGACTTAATAATAGAATAAAATAATCATATTACATTTATTTTATCTAAAAAAATAGAATTACAATTACACAGGTAATTCTCGATAAATTACGAAACAAATAAACTTTTCTTCTCTTTTAAGAATTTTAATGAAACCAAATAAATTATATATTAAAACGTAACTGATTTATGTGCAATTTACATTTAATTTAAATTTAAATAAGCAGAAATAAATGGCAAAATGAGACTAAAATAACAATAAATTGTTGTAATTATAATTTATAAATGAAAATTTTAATATTATTATTTTATGTAACAACATAAAGATTCAATTATTAAAAGGTTTCCATCTCAATTGAATATTGAAGTGATGTTCTTCAGACATCTGCAATGTAGTGTTAAGACTTGATATTTACGGAATTCGTGTCTGTTTCCTAGCTGTTATCCCCATGGTATTTCTTTCTTCCAATGGCGTAACAAAAAGGCGTAATAAAATAATAGCAAAAATTAGACACAGCATAATTGTAAAAATACAAATAGATATAGTTATTAACAGTAAACAAGCATCTATTATAGACAACTTTTGTAGTTTGAAAGTACTGTGAAATTTTGGGTATAGCGTATACAATTTTTATGAATTCAATGCGAAAAGCAGAAAACAAATAATTTACGTACTGTATCTAAGCTTTTTTTATTTTATAGCTTTAAATAAAATAAAAAAGCTTAGCTACAGTACGTAGATGAAAGATAAAAAAGGCATTGAATCTTGAAATGCTCAGAAATTGAATTACAATTTATTGTTGGATTATTTTATAGTATGACTAAGTCTTATAACTTGATGCATTTTATAGTAAATAAAAGTTATATTCTTCATTTCTAGAATTACTTAAGAAATGCATTTGGTAGTAGATGTTTTTCACTAATTTAGATATATACAATATTACTTATTAATATATTTTATGTTTTTGTGTTTGTGAATATACAAATACTCTTTTTTTTCAAGATTCATATTATATAATTTTTGTAAGCGATCTGATATCTTGATACCAGGGTGAATTATGTTTCAGAATGTATTTTTTACTTTGCACAATTTTTTTGTATATACTTTGTAGTCTTCTACAATGTGTACTTTGTTGACTAGCTATTGGCGACCTTACATTTTCGATAAAATTTGATGTTTTTTTCTAGCAAAAAATATACTAATATAAGTCAATTTGCTAGTCGCCTGTATCACAAAAATCCGATACGAAAGATTGGCCTTACCAACAAGTTTGAAATTTACCAACAACATGTTTGGGTGCCGATAAACACCGAAAATATAGAAGTAGTAGAGTAGAGTAGAAAAATAATAATAATTGATATAAATCTTTTTATTAAAAAAAAGTAAATTTGCCGGATAAATATATATTTGCATGTTGCTAGTCTTCCATAGTAAGTTCTTTGACTGCTTCTATTGGCTAGCCTATTTAATGAAGTAATAACAAGATATCGTAATACTAGAGAATTTCTAATTAAGTTTCTATGCAGGAGTAAATTCAACCTTTGCTGTATCTTCTTTGATGACGATGATAATTTGGTGACTGTTGCTGCTGGTAACCCTTTTTGATATTTAATATGCGCAACATCTCCTGCCTCTTAATTTAATGTCGATCGCGTGTTTGCATAACCGCGTTAGCAGGGGACGCTCTGTATAAATTCATAAATTTGAATATAACAATTTCATAACATGGAGTTTTGACACTCTGCATACGTACATAACGTAGAATAATATACAAGTTTATATAATAAGTTGTAATAATAAACAAATAAATATGTATGAGATGAGCGTGAGGGATGAACGAGGTGGAGGAGAAGGAGGAGTGTCAGCGCAGTGGCGTCCGTTCGATATTAAGCTTCATTGTTTAGAGCTCTTTCGTTCTTTATTCTGTGCATCGTGTTGATGGAGGAAATGCGATGGGGAAGAGAGAGTGTCGGCAGCAGCAGGAGGAGGAATGTAAATATTTAGTTCTTGTTCTTGCAACTCTCGGTGTGCGTACATGTGCGTGTGTTTATGTGCGAGTGAAAAGTTTTGAAGAAGAAAATGCTTGAAGTCGGTAGTACCAACGGGTGCGAGATAGATGGCGATCTTGGGAAATGGTGAGTGGGACGGAGAGGGAGAGAAAAAATCGACGCCGTGGAATCAAATAACGCATACGAAAGGGGCGGCGTCGCGGCTGCGTCAAATTTTCCCGACGACGTCAGTTGAATCCGTGCCACCGTCAGGTCGCAACGCCAGTTTTCCCCTGATCCTCCCCCACAGCTAGAGAGAGAGAGATAGGAGAAAATTAAAGCAAGAAAAACAGTACTCGAATTTTCCGCACCGCTCGAAAAATTCCGCGCAACAAGAAAACGACAAACAACAGCAATAACTACAATCAGGAAACGCGCACCAATCTATAAGAGCCATGCTGTGTTGATCAAAAGTTTTGTAGAAGTCTGTTCATATTTGATTTTTTGTTTTTTTTCTTTAATTTTCGAACAACTCCGAGTTGCTGTTCTAGCTTGTTATTTAACGTGCGTGCTTTCGGTTGGATTGTGTTGATTGCTGCCGTCCAGGGGAGGAGAGAAGAAAAGCGGATGATGGGGGACCGATGAAAGCATTGACCAGCAGCGAGATGGCTTGTTTCCTGGAGCGGAGACCAGTTCAAAGCTAGAAAGGTAAAGAGACAGCAGGATCACATTCAATATATATTAATGATCGACGGGGGCGGAGGCGGGGTCCTGACCTTAAAGACCTAATGAAATTCCTATCCGGAGCGAATTCCTCGACAACTGGTCATTTGCATCGCAGATTACTACAAGTCACACACTCTCGCTCATCATACATATATACATACATACACAAACACACATTGAGTGAAGCCGAAAAGAGAAGCCGCCCCCCCGTCGCGGTTTCATCTCGCTCCTTCCACCGCACGCACGCAATACACGTACAAAGCCCAAATCCGCCCTTTTCCTTCTCGCTTATTAATACTGGGAATGGAACAACAAACCTATGTGTGCCGCGTGCGGACTCCGTCCGAAGTGAGTGTGTAAGGTATGTACGTATACGTATGAAAGGGGGGAGCGATATTGATTTATTTCCTGCCACGCTAAAGAGATCTTTAACTCTAATGAATAATACGTTTTGTAACGATTTTCCTTTATTTCCGACGATGATCGTTATCAATTATCGTCCTCGACCAAAAAGTCTCGTCTTTTTCATCCGACGTCTTCTAGTAACAGCAGAAGCATATGCGGGGGTGGTGCGATGGGGGCGGTTAGGTTTTCAGAGGGTTGCTGGGGGTAACCGTACGCACAACTTGTTGCCATGTTGGAATGGAAAATCCACTTGGAAAATTTATAAGGAAACACACCACGCGATATCCAAGTTTTCCGCACCGAATCAAATACGGGGGTGGTTGGTTTTCCACAAGCAGGGTGTGGGGTTTGGGGGGTGTACGGCAACCCGAAGGCTGGAAATTTATTTGCCGCTCGCTCGCTCGAAACATACAATTCTCCCTCTTTCCAATCAGAAGGGAAACGGAATAAACAGGAAAACATACTGGAATGAAATATTTTACGTTATGCATGAAACCCCCATCGGCGTTTTTTTTTATTGTTTTTGTTTTTATTTCTGTGTGTTTTGGATACCCAAAGCGAAGAAATTCAATAATGCACCCCCCAAAATACATAAACAAATTGAATTTAATTGGTGCATTTGTATACGTTCTACATTTATTGAACTTGATTTTTCTAATATCTGAAAGCATAACTCATATTTACATGATCTCAGAATTTCATACTCTATGACTTCTTTAGGGGATATAAATTATATCATATTACTGGTGTAAAGAAGTTTTCTATGCAATTATAGACTTGTATTAAGATCACTTAATCATAATTTTTATAAATATAAATTTCTATATTTAAATACATCTGGTGAGGTCTGCTGTCGATCAGACCGTATTCACAATAATTCGGTTTGAAAATTTCAAAATAAACTAAATTTTAATTGAGCGAAACAAAACGAGTAGTCACATTTATTTAGTTTCTTTTTATTCAGACCGTAATTACTCGATTAATCCGGGTATTGGCTATCCGATTACTCGGATTAAGAGAAGTATTGTTAAAATTTTACAGTCCTTAAAAAACAGTTGGATACGTTCCAATTAATTGTTACAATAATTAATTTTGAATAAAAGAAAAAACTTCATACTATGATTTTACATGTAATTTTTATAAATAATGTAATCAATATTCATGTGAATCAAATAATTTGAATATCAAATAATGTTATAATGTTAATGTTGTATTAAAATCAATTCAAACTTAATTTATTTATATCAAATCATGTTTCTCCTTAATCGGTATATGTACTGAGAATTTAAAAATCTGAAATATTTGTATTGAAACAGCATAAGTTAACAGCAATAAATTATTTTTACATTTGCTGTACATTTTGGTATTATTTTTCTTAACTATGTTAAAATAAAAATCTCTATATTGGATTATAACATTGTTAATTCAGTTATGACGATTTTTCTTAATTTTAGTAAAAAAAATATGTATGAAATAAAGTGAAAACTTTGTATACTCAATTAAAAAAAGGGTAATAACATATTAATAAATAATAACAAAATACAGATTATTTATGGAAGAAATATTCATAGAATAATAGAATATTCGTATCTATTAAAATCTTCTGACTTTTTTTTTCAAATACAAAACAATTCAATTTATAATACAATTTTACTCCATAAGAATCGACATAAATAAATAAGTTTGTGGAAGAAATATTTTCTTAAAAATAAATAATTTTTCTAATTTTTTGATAATTTCTAAATTATTTTTGTATGTAAACATATAAAATTCTATAATTATTGGTAAAAGTTTCTGCAATGTATCAAATTGCTTCATTTGAACTATAAATTATGTTTGAATTATATAATTTATACATAAGACTTCTTCATAATTAATTTCATTGAATCCGATACAAATTTATGTTAAATTCTTTGATTTGATATAAGTTTTTTTATATTTACAAATTGAACCTATGTTTAAGATGTTTTTTCTAGAAATGTATTGTATAATGTACCAAAATAAACTTTTTCCTTTCCAAAATTTGACTAATTAGATAGTTTATGTAATTTACTAATTCTAATGTGGAAATTAGGTATTAATTATTTGCACGAATATTTTTAGTTTTTCGAATATATCCAAAAATAATGGATATCAACTGATCTCTATATATAATTTCTTGTGTGTGCCACACATAAATTAGAAAAAACTTATAATTGTCTTATAAGTATAGAATTTTCATAATCTTGAAAAACCTTAATAATTGATTATTCATACCTGCATATATAATAATATTCAAAGACCAATTGATAAACATTTATAATATTTTTAGACCTGTTCATTGTAGAAACATGTTTATTATCATCAATTCTTGTATATCATGTATATTACTTCAAAAGTTCTATAGAGTTTAGACTTCTAGCACTTCAAAGTTGGATAAATAAATGAAAACCCAGAATTGACGATGGAGTGTTTAAAACTTTTTTTTTAAATATCTATATAAAAAGAAACTACTTTTTATTTTACTCCTTTTGATGATACAGATGTTTGGATTCAGAAACGGTCTGGTTTTTATCCTAAACCTGATAGCATCAGAAAAAAATATGTTTCTTAACCGAGTAAATAACGTGGGAGGAGGTTAATAAGTCCATGAAAATTTTCATTCATTATTTCAGCATCAAAGAGGATGCATTGTACGGATTACACAAGAAAGAAATCTGTTTAGCCTCGAAAGGGATTCGTGTAATCCGAGAGACGGATTCTCTGTAAACTGTTTATATAAAATTCGTAAATTATTTATAGAACAATTACCATTATCCAGTTATTTTTGTTACCTTTATTATAATTATTATATTTTCAATAGTTTTAAGTACGAATATTTATTTAAAGTATGATATTTATATACGTGAACTGAAGGATTTATATAATAAATATTTGTAGAAGGAAACCAATGTTGTAAACATTCTAAATTAGTGGAATTGCGTAATTTGTATACAAAATTAATATATTGTTAAGGTGCATTATTCAGCGCTATTGGTGTTCAAAAAGGTTCCCTGTTTTATTTTTGTGAATGTTTGCGTGAAATTTCAGGAGAAGAGCTTAATTTTTGGGGGTGCTTTTGGGGCTGAGCCATTTATTTTAATACCCACATGTGCTTTGACCCGCACCCTCAGAACTCTCATACTCTGTTCGTTCCATGCACATCCTCACACGATCCCTAATATTTCACTAATGAATATAATCTTTTTTAATGAATTAGTGAACGTCGGGTCGGTGGACAATCCGAACAAAAAATCTGCTGTAGTTATGAATGAAGCTTTTGCATTTGTCAAAGTTTCCATCACTTTTTTAATACAATTTAAATATTCAAATATAAAATATTTCTAAGGTATATTGAAAGAAAGTAGTGGCCTTTTCAGGTATATCTATTTATATTATATGGCCATATGAGAATGTCAAGTATCTGGGAATTCATCTTGCAAGTCTACAATGTATGTACTTTTCAAGTTACGAGGGCAGTCTCAGAAGTATCCGACCTCATGGATAAATGGCGATATTTGTTTGAAAAAATCTACTATGATCAAAAGTATCAAACTTATATAGCTTAAGTTTGAAGATGCTATATTATTTAGTATTTGTTTGACAGCCATTAATAGTGAACGCTGTCAGTGAATTTGTAAACATGGAAAAAATTGGTCATCATTATGTGATACAATAATTTTATTTAAAAGGTCTCAGTCTAATCAATATTAAAGCCGAGATAGATTCTACTTAGGGGGAGTCTGCTCCTTCGTATCAACAAAGTAATATTGGGTGACAAAGTTTAAACGATGTCGTACGAGCTGACAAGATGAACATTACAGTGACCATGATACAAATTGTGAATAAAATCCACAAAACAGTATTGAATGATCGTCGATTGAAAGTGAGCGAGCTAGCAGACATGGTGGACACTTCAAAAAGTGCTGTACATCGCATATTAATTGAAAATTTGAAGGTAAGGAAGCTGTGCAAGACGGATTGGCACCCGTGGTCACAATGTTTTGATTGCACCAGTTCACACATCCGTTATCGCGATGGCCAAAATCAATGAGTTAAACTTCGAATGTCTTCTTCACGCACCCTATTCGCCAGATCTACCTATTGAACATTGTTATTTAATTTTGTCTTTTCTATAATAGGTCGGGTAATTTCGGGACTACCCTCATATAAAGGGTGTCCCAAAATTAACTATAAATTTGAATTAAATAGAAAACACAGTTTTTAGTCTTCAAGTTGTGATTTTTTTTATTGAATCTTAAAATACATAGGTTAGGGTTATTTATGGAATATTGCAAATGGCCTCCACAGCTTTGCTGGCACATACGCACTCTTTTATCAAAATTTTCCATTTTTTTGCATAAATGTGGCTGAATATCGTTGATGCAGCGTTTAATTTCTTCCTCTAATGCACTGGTGGTTGTGGGCTTTTTGACATAGACCTTTGACTTCAAATAACACCATAAAAAGAAATCTAATGGTTTTAAATCACAAGATATAGGGGGCCAATTTTGATCACCGAAACGAGAGACTAGGAATTGTCTCATTTAGTAATTGAA